ACTGTAAGATTGTTAATAGTTTTGTGTAGTTTTTTTTTCAATTAGGTTTATTTTGACAGTGTCACATAATGCCATTGTCATGGGTCATAATGCGATTGTCGTTGAAAAATGTAACTTTAGTAGTTTTCGGAAATAACATGTACATGTCATATTTTTACGAGTATATAACAGCAAAATATATCCAAAAACGAAGCGGTGATAGAAAAAAAGTTATGATTAACCCTCTCAAAATTGAATTAAGGAGGCTGGGGGGTAAACAAATTAATCATAAATTAACCACCAGATTTAACTTATTTTTTTACATATGGTATCTTAAGCTGTCAACTATCATTTGACAAAGAAAAAATTCATATATTTAAGCTTTAAAATTTGATCATTTTTTATATCTTTATATGGAGCTCTTCTTTTAAAGGAGATAAAAATAGTCTGAAAATCGCTGCCACACTCCAGCATCGTCCTCGTGAAAAAATACCATCCTGCCCTAAAAAGAAAGATTAAAGACCTTTATCATTTAAAAAATAAAGAAGGAAAAACACAGTCATTATCCACACTAATATTACTAGAATCTCTAAACATCAGTGGTGTGATTGGGTGTCTTGGAAGAGTAAGCATCCCCTGTCGACAGGACAGACCCGCATTAATTATCGGGCAAACGTGAAAATTTGTAGCATTTTATTATACCCACCACTTTAAAAGCGGGAGGGTATATAGTGATCGGGATGTCTGTACGTCCGTCCGTAAGAGAAGGGGTACTCATCTCTTATCCGCGACTTCTTTTATAACACTGTTCAAATGAAATTTTATGAGACTTTTACAATCTTTGTTACATAATGCCATTGTGCACTTACTTATTTACTTTTTGCTTGGACACATATATCGGGTTTCTCTTAGCAAAACATGAATACCGTCTTTCTTTCTGTAATTAAAGGTAACTAAGTCTTATCCGCAACTCCTCCTGTACCACTGATTAAAAATTAAAGATACTTTCTCAGATTCTTTATAACATAAGGTCATTGTGCACTTTCTATTTTACTTTTTGGCGTGACACTTATTTCAGTTCTCCCAGAGTAAAACATGAACTTTGCCATTTGAAACATATGGGAGGCGGGGGTATCATTTAGTGAGCTCATTGCTCAAAGTACCTCTAGTTTTTTTGTAAAACTAATGCCTTAACAAATTGCGTGGCAATTGTCAGTCAATATTTAACTTAACAATTAATTGAATTTGGTAACAAGGTCAGTGAATTGGTTATAAAAGATACAAAATTTGACTTTAAGCAAAACTCTTAGTATCCTTGTATCTCCAACTTATGTTTTAATAATCTGACTCGTTTTAGAAATTTTTTATTATGCACAATATGCTCATAGTATCAAATCAACTGGGTGAGATTAACTCCAAATGAAAATGATTTGTGTACGATTAAAAAAAAACATTTAAAATCGAGTTGAAAAGTAAGCGTGAGGCATCTTAACTTCTTGCTATAACGGTATTGTGGTTAGGTGGTGTAAAAACGCAAACCATGCCTACTAAAATTCTAGACTGTTGACGGATTGTAATATTTTACCTTGTCACTTTTTTACATGCCAAAAGTAATGTTACTTTACTCGAACCAAAGTCCGAGCTATTAATAATTTAACCTCGATGTCTGATACCAGTGTTTATTTCTCTGCTTCCATGGAGAAAAATCCTGTTTTCGTGCTTAAGTTAAATATTGAACAAATATGTACTTGCACTGCATACCACTGAACACATTTTCAAGACTGGGCTTTTGTAGAGCAATGACTGTCCAAAACAAGGGATTCAGAGGCGTAGTCACAAACTTAAAAGTGGGGGGGCTCAACTCCAGAAATTCTTTGACAAGCAAAAAAAAAGAAAGAAATTTGAAAGTTCCCCAAACTCGAAAATCCTATTTCGGGGGGGGGGGGGGGGTAGTGGCCAACTTTTTCAATGGCAAGTTACTTTCAATTCCAATTCCAATCCAAAATTATTCCATATTACTATACTAGGGTCAAAAGGTAGGGGGCAACTATCCCTTCAATGAACATTTCCTATAGTAAAGAAAAAGTTGTGGATTTTGTTCTTCATTAAAAAGTGGGGGGGGCACAGACATACTCTTGCCCCCCCCCCCAGATCTGAAAGTGGGGGGGGGGGGGCTAGTGCCCCCGCTGCCCCCCCCCCCTGTGACTACGCCTATGAGGGATTCCTATATTTTCGTAAAGGGCGAGGCAATTAATGAATCTTGAATTCAAATGCATTGTGACAAGGAATTTTGTGTAAGTTTACAAAATAGGAAAAATCACGAGATGGTTAGTCATAATGTAAAAAAAAATTAATAATGAGTTTATATTCGCAAGAACTTTTAATATCTTGTCGTCCTAAATTATGATATTGAATTATTGATCAATGGAAACAGAGAAAAGAGTGCACACATGGTGATCACTGACATGTGTTTGAATGCATACCAACTGAATATCGGACAGATTCAAATAAAATATTGAAGTGTTTGGTTGTTGGTTTGGATTTTCACAGTTTACAATATTTAGACAGGTTTTATCAAAAGTGTCCTTGGTGTTCCGTCAAAATAACAGATAACAGACAAGTTTTGTCTCTAAAGACGTAAAAACAAATACAGAAATAACAAATGACGTTTAATTTTTCGTGAAACTACAATAACTTATAAACGAGCGTAATTTTAAATTAACTCACAAGTTTAAAACCATTGCTACATTGTTCTGCTATTAAATCTTTGGTAGAATGTCACATCTGGTGCATTGTACATTTGTAATATCATTAAAATGTATAATATCGGTCCATTTTTTAAAACATTAAATAGATTGATTCGTTAAAAGATTTTGTTACTTCACTGTGTATACGAATATCATATAATGCATTCCAGAATAAAAAAGGAAATTCCAATGTGTCCCTTTTCTAGGTTTTTATTTCAAAATACTCAAAGAATGACAGTTCTTTATAGGCACTATACTCATGTTAAGTCCAATGATACTTGGGGTATTAATCCCCCACCTTTAAGTCATTCACATTTAAGTATGTATTTACACAGAGAAATACACTTGGGGTATTAATCCCCCATCTTTATGTCACGCACAAGTGTCTATGTATTTGAACAAAGCAATACACTTGGGGTATTAATCTCCTATCTTTAAATAATGAACATTAGAGTATGTATTAGAACTAAGCAATGTACTTGGGGTATTAATCTCCCATCTTTAAATAAAGTACATTAGAGTAAGCTATACACTTGGGGTATTAATCCTCCATCTTTGAATAATGCACATTTGAGTATTTGTTTGAACAATTAATGCAATACACTTGGGGTATTAATCCCCCATCTTTGAATAATGCACATTTGAGTATGTGTTTGAACAAAGCAATACACTTGGGGTATTAATCCCCCATCTTTGAATAATGCACATTTGAGTATGTGTTTTGAACAAAGCAATGTACTTGGGGTATTAATCCCCCATCTTTAAATAATGCACATTTGAGTATTTGTTTGAACAAAGCAATACACTTGGGGTATTAATCCCCCATCTTTGAATAATGCACATTTGAGTATGTGTTTGAACAAAGCAATACACTTCGGGTATTAATCCCCCATCTTTAAATAATGCACATTTGAGTATGTGTTTTGAACAAAGCAATGTACTTTGGGTATTAATCCCCCATCTTTAAATAATGCACATTTGAGTATGTGTTTGAACAAAGCTATACACTTGGGGTATTAATCCCCCATCTTTAAATAATGCACATTTGAGTATGTGTTTGAACAAAGCTATACACTTGGGGTATTAATCCCCCATCTTTAAATAATGCACATTTGAGTATGTGTTTGAACAAAGCAATACATTTGGGGTATTAATCTCCCATCTTTAAATAATGCACATTTGAGTATGAATTAATACGTTAGGTAATAATCTCCCATCTTTAGATGACGTACATTTGTCTATAATTTTGTACAAAGCAATACACTTGAGGTATTTTAAAATCCCCCATTGTTTAGTAATGCAGATTTGAGTATGTATTCGTACAAAGCTAAACACTTGGAGTATTAATCCTCCATCTATAAGTAATGTACATTTGAGTATGAATTTGTACAAAGCATTACACTTGGGGTATTAATCCTCCAACTCTAAGTAATGTACAATTCAGTATGTATTTGTAAAAAGCAATACTCTCGGGGTATTAATCCTCTATCTTTAAGGAATGTACATTTGAGTATGAATTTGTACAAAGCAGTACACTTGGGGTATTAATCCTCCATCTCTAAGTAATGTACATTTGAGTATGAATTTGTACAAAGCAATACACTTGGGGTATTAATCCTCCAACTCTAAGTAATGTACATTTGAGTATGAATTTGTACAAAGCAATACACTTGGGGTAATAATCCTCCATCTCTAAGTAATGTACATTTGAGTATGAATTTTTACAAAGCAATACACTTGGGGTATTAATCCTCCAACTCGAAGTAATGTACATTTGAGTATGAATTTTTACAAAGCAATACACTTGGGGTATCAATCTTCCATCTTTATATGCATACAAAATGGTTTTGCGGACGAAGAATGATTTTATATAAGTCCAAGGTCATTGGCAAAAGCTCTCGATACTCAATTGTTAAGCTTCACTGATACAGCTATGTTATTCAAGAACTGTCTTTATCTTTCCTGTCAGATCTTCCTTTCCTCGCAATCTTTTTTTTCTTGTCCTCTTTTTTCCCCTTTGACACGATAACCTAAAACACAAACATGCCCAAAATCAAAACCTTTTGGAAACATCATTAAAAATTATATTAAAGATGTTATCTTGCAAAAATAATTTTACATTTACTTCAAAATACATCAATTGGCCAATTCACTATAGTAAGATAACTTGGATAAATAATTATTTACTTATTAGTCATTATAGTGTACATGTATCTGCATATGTACTTGTATATTGCTTAGATTGTTATTTAAATTTTAAATAGACTGAAGACATAGTACAAAAGAAAATGAAAAGACAAGAAAGTGTACAAGACAACCAACCAAGTGGATCCTCTGTACGTTACATATTAATACATAAAACTTTTTTCATAAACTTTCAATTTATATCACTTTTCTAGTCATTTTGTTTTTGTAATTTTTTCTGCAGGTTATCATAACAGAAGAAAAAGATCTAGTACTGGTAGAGTATACCAAGGGCAAAATTTACTTTGCCATTAAGGATGGGGATTTCCTAACGTATTGCCAACGACCAGTCGGGGTGATACGGGATGGACACTTCACACACGCCCCACAGAAACTTTCATTCACAGTGAATGAAAAGGATAGACAAAGTTTTGATGAGAAATACATAATCTGTTTAATGAAAGGAAGTCTTGTTGGGAAGTGTATAAAAGCTGACCAGTTATCAATTAGCATTGAAAATCAAATCAAGGCCATTCATAAGTATATTAATTAAATGTACCGGTAAGTCAAATATTTAGAAAGTAGAGAACCTTAACCAAGACTATAGAAGAAAATTTATAATTCATTTCAAATTCGAGTGTATTAGCCATACATGTAGGTGTTAAATTGGGAGATATGATCTTTTGTTCACAGTGAAAATGTAATTGTTTCTCTTTTTTATCATATTATGTTAAAAACTTTTATCTTCTATCTGTTTAAAAGATAGAGGATTAATCCCCATTGTCTCTTAAAACAGTATGTAGAAAAATTTGATCACCATTTTTCAAATACATAGTCAAATGTGGATGGCTTCAAGATGGGGATTTATACCCCAAGCGTTTTGCTTTGTTCAAATTCATAATCAAATGTGCATGACGTAAAGATTAATAATTGTATTGTTTTGTACAAATACATGTACACAGTCAATTGTGCATAACCTAAAGATGGGGGATTAATACCCCAAGTGTATTGCTTTGTACAAATTCAAACTCAAATGTACATTCTTAGAGTTGGAGGATTAATACCCCAAGTGTATTGCTTTGTACAAATTCAAACTCAAATGTACATTCTTAGAGTTGGAGGATTAATACCCCAAGTGTATTGCTTTGTACAAATTCAAACTCAAATGTACATTCTTAGAGTTGGAGGATTAATACCCCAAGTGTATTGCTTTGTACAAATTCAAACTCAAATGTACATTCTTAGAGTTGGAGGATTAATACCCCAAGTGTATTGCTTTGTACAAATTCAAACTCAAATGTACATTCTTAGAGTTGGAGGATTAATACCCCAAGTGTATTGCTTTGTACAAATTCAAACTCAAATGTACATTCTTAGAGTTGGAGGATTAATACCCCAAGTGTATTGCTTTGTACAAATTCATACTCAAATGTACATTACTTAGAGATGGGGGATTAATACCCCAAGTTTTATTGCTTTGTACAAATTCATAGTCAAATGTACATTACTTAGGGATGGAGGATTATTACCCTAAGTGTATTGCTTTGTACAAATTTATACTCAAATGTACATTACTTAGAGATGGAAGATTAATGAGTGTTTTTCTTTGTTCAAACTCAGAGTCAAATGTACATGACTGAATGATGGGGGTTTAATTACCAAGTATATTGTTTTGTTAAAATTCATACTCAAATGTGCATTATTTAAAGATTGGAGATTAATACTTCAAGTGTATTGCTTAGTTCAAATTCATACTCAAATGTAGATTTATTTAGAGATGGGGGATTATTACCCCAAGTGTAATGATTTGTTAGTTTACATATTTAAAAAAAGCATCATTTAAAGATGGGGGATAATACTCCAAGTGTATTTCTTTGTGCAAATACATAGTCAAATGTGAATTTTTTAAAGATGGGGGATTAATACCCCAGTTTTATTTCTTTGTGTAAATACATACTTGAATGTGAATGACTTAAAGATGGGAGATTAATACCCAAGTATCATTGGACTTAACATGAGTATAGTGGCTATAAAGAACTGTCATTCTTTGAGTATTTTGAAATAAAATCTTAGAAAAGGGACACATTGGAATTTTCTTTTTTATTCTGGAATGCATTATATATAAAAGACTTTTTGAAATAATTGTTTTGTTGTCTTTAGTAACAGCATTGGTACTAATTCTAAATCAGTCTCATCAAGTGCTCAAATAAAACATTAAAATCTCTTTGGTAAGGTGTAGCATGGACACAAACTGTGAACAATGCATATAAAAAACGGACAGCGATATGACCAGAATAGGACCAGGTGCCTAGGAAAAGTAAACATCCCCTTCTGACCAGTCATTCCCATCGTATATCATTATATGGTAAAAACACTGTAGTCAGAATAAATAAAAATAACTTTACAAGATAGCATATACTATTATTCAGAGAATACGACTCCGCGATAGGTTGTATCTACAGATAAGGTTATTCTGACAACCGTAGAAAAATTCGAAAAGCTGATTTTAACGGGATTCTGAAAAATTTTATCGAAAAACTTATTTGTCGGTAGCTTTCCTTCACAGGAGTCTGAAGTTTTTTGTCGTCAAAAAAAAAAAAAAAAAATCCGGAAAAAATTTTTCCTACCCTTAACTAAAAAAAACCCCAGGATGGCAACGTGTTTTTGGGGGACCCACCTAAACAAATAGATCTGGGCTTGGTCAGAAAAATCTCGCAACTAATTCAGTATCCGGAGTGTTTGTGCTATTTATTCAAGTTAAGAAATCCAATATGCTTGACGACTACGGGCTATTCATGGCCCTTTTTCCAGTTTGACAGCTCATCCTGGACTCCATGCCACTAACCCGGAAGTGAACTCCGAAGTGAATATATGACGTAATTGAAGAAAAGAAACAAAAAAAATTGCATGTAAAACTTCATGTACAATATTATGTTACCATAGGTGATCAATAAAAATATATTTTTTCAAACAAAATAATGCCTTGTAAGGTCTCTAAGTCTAACTGTTTGGCTCTTTGTCGACTTGGCTTTTCACTGATTTAAATTTGGCGCCTTGTAAAAACTGAATTATCTGTCCCTGGTACATATCGTCATACAAGTAAGAAAAAGAATTGATAACTTTTTAAAGTTCTTTTAAATATATTTAAAATAACTGAATCAAATTACGTTGAATAATTATTTATTTTATTTCATTTGAACAAGTTTTTACAGACGTCAAATATACACTGCGAGATTCTCTTCCGGTTTAGTGGCATGGAGTCCAGGATGAGCTGTCAAAGTAGAAAAAGGGCTAGGAACGGCCCGTAGTCGTCAAGCAGATTGGGTTTTTTAACTTGAATAAATAACACAAACGCTCGGATACTGAATTAATCGCGATATTTTTTTTGGCCAAGCCCAGATCTATTTGTTTAGATGGGTCCCCCCAAAACACGTTGCCATCCTGGTGTTTTTTCAGCTAAGGGTAGGAAATTTTTTTTCCGGATTTTTTTTTTTTTTGACGATAAAAACTTCAGACTCCTGTGCTTTCCTTTAACCAGAAGTCTCTGTCGAGGATGTAGCTCTACTGGTTTGTACTTAAAACAAAGGAAGCAGTTGGGACTTGAAACTTTACAACAGCAATAAATAGAATAATGATCCTTGATTAAGTCTCCTTTTGTGGCAAGATTGCAATAAGACTACAACTGTAGGAGCAGCTTTTTATAAGATTTTACAGAATTTTCAATTTTTAGTAACCATGGCAACACCGTTCATCGAAAACAAAAACAGATATACAGAATTATGTATCTTAGTATAGTCTGCTTGTGTGCCAAGTTATCTTGCAAATTTGAAATCAGATCAGAACTGTAGGAGGAGTAGCATTTTGAGTGTATTTCACAGAAATTTCTTTTTTTAGTAACCATAGCAACACCGTTCATTGAAATCAAAAAACGATATGATCCAGACAATTATGCATCTCATTGAAGTCTACTTGTATGTCGCATTATATTAAAATCAGACCAAAACAGTATAAAGAGTAGCATTTTAATAGTATTTCACAGAAATTTCTATCGAAACCAAATATTGATAAGGAGAATTATGTATCTTAATGTAGGCTACTTCTATGTCAAGTTATTATGAAATCAGACTAAAACCGTAGAAGTAGCATTTTTAAAGTATTTCACAGAAATTTCTCTTTTTAGCAACCACAGCAACACCGTTCATCGAAAACAAAAAACACCGATATACAGAATTATTTATCTAAGTGTAGTCTACTTGTGTGCCAAGTTATACTGAAATCAGACTAAAACTGTAGGAGTAGCATTTTTAAAGTATTTCACAGAAATTTCTATTTTTAGTAACCACTGCAACACTGATAATCGAAATCAAAAACCGATATACAGAATTATATATCTTAGTGTAGTCTACTTGTATGCCAAGTTATATTGAAATCAGATCCAAACTGTAGGAGGTGTAGCATTTTGAAAAATTGTTTTCAGACAGACGAACGACGGTCTCATTACTGTCTCATAAGCTCTTCTGATCTCTGACCAGTAGAGATAAAAATTGATTACTTTAGTTATTTACCATTATTGTCTTTGAAGCAAATCTGGCAGACTTTTGTTGACCAGTGTAGACTTCTTTAATATCAAGTTGGATAGATTTTGGACAGATTTTCAGTTTCAATGGAATACATGTATATACATGTACGTCGAATCCACATGTAAATGAAAGAAAAATTATTGCATTGTTGATTGATAATTCTAAAATTCACGTATATAGTGATAAATGTTCCTGTGAAAATGGTATGTTCTCCTTACTTTTACGAGGAAATGTAAAACATTTCATATTAATTTTTTTTTAATTTATTAACTTTGACTGGTAACTTTAGTTGAAAATTTTATAGGTATTTGTTCGTTCGTGGAGGCACAGAAAAAAAAACAAACTAACGTACTTCTAAAGCTAGATATTTAAAGGAGGAATAAAAATAATGAAAATGAGCTGTTTGAAAAAAAAAATTAAAAGAAAAGGGTATTATATATTACATATAATTGAAAATTTTGAAGAAAAAACAAAGAAACAAACCGATAAAAAACCCATCAATCAAAATCTATCCTTTATGGTCTTTCATACTTTTTTTTCCAAGCATAATAGGTCACGTTTGAGTTTTTACCGGGATGTCTATTTTTTTTATCGATTTTTAAAAAGAAATCAAACTAGTGGTCTTATAAAATAAAACAGCCCATGACACATCACCTTTCTATTGACGTAAATTCCTCTGAAGGCTTTTGAATCTCTTCTTAGCTGATAAGAAGATTGAAAATTCGAAACAAGACAATTTCATAAAACGAACCTTATTTATTTTTTAAAATAGAACTTGTTTTTCCTCATCCACTTTACCCAAAACCCGTTAAAAATGAAAATATTTGTTTCGATTTAATTAACACTGAAATGTTTAATGTACATGTATTTATATATATATATTTTAAACATGACCGACTATAAATTAATTGATGAACCAATATTGTGATATAAGTTTAATTAATTGAATATGAAAATTATTTTACAAAACATATCATGTAAATGATAAAGGTGCTTAATTTCTTGTGGTGTACGTTTAAAATTGTTGCAACATTGTTAAAGTGTAAGCCTGTTCAAGCAGGCTATGTGTTTCTTTCTTGTTTAATCATGCTATGTGTTTCTTTCTATAGTTGATGAATCCGTTAAAATCCGTATAGCTTAATGAATAAAAAAAATTAAAGTTGATCTTTATTGGTTTATCTTTAAGTATTTTATAAAACGGATGAAAGTTTACTAATTGCTTGAATTATATTCATTCGTGTCAAAGTCCTACCGGTCTCCATGAATAGAACATTTGAACTTTGGATGGTGAAATACATATGAATCAAAAGACGGTCAACCTTTATGCAAGTCAAAATCGATTCTGATAATAAATCTATCATCAGTCCATTCCAGGCTTGAAAAAAAAATCAAATGTCCTTGAGAATTTACTATAGTATTTCGATTCATCACATCTAGGAATCTATATTTTTCATAGTGGGGTTTCAAACGATAACACAGACAAGTTCAAATAAGCAATAAAAAAAACCCAGAAAGCAACATTTTTGAATAATATACTAGTATATAATTTGGCAATTTCTGAATGCAATACTACATCATGTATATTTGAACACGCATGGACGTGTATTTTATTGACATGCGGAGAAAATTATAATTAACAAACATTTTTTTATAACAGCATGAAAGAAGAAAAAATAAAATTTCTTCTCATCTACTAAAAACCTCACAGTGAATGAAAATTCGTTTAAAATTTAAAACGGTGATATATTTGAGATTTAATTAAAACACTGAATCCGGACAAAGGGCGACAACTCCAACCCCACTATTTCGTCTACACATATGTTATGGTAGCAACAATGGTCATGATACTCCAGAGTCCAAGACTGGTGACGGCAGACGACCCAGCGTATCCCATTCCTAGAGAATTAGCACTTATTGGCGCTCTGTTTATACAACCCATGCCACAGTTTGAGATCACGCTGTTCCCGGAACCTCCCCTTCCTCCTCCTACTCCTACTCCACCTCCTCCTCCTGAACTACTTGGAGTAGGTCCTGGACGAGGAGTAACTGATGGTGCAGCTGTTATATGTGGTGTCGTTGCTGGTGCTCTAGTCGTGGTAGTGCTTGTTGTAGTGGTGCTAGGAGTGGTAGCTCCATCAGTCACAGCTGGAAATATACAACTTATAATTAATGTTTAATGAAACAAAGGATGCACTATTTAACCATATATATACAATGTATGAAATATGAAAATAACGTTCAGGATCAAACTTGAAAGTCCATTGTCCTTTCAAGAGTCCCTTGTATTTCTTTACATGCGTATGACCATAGAGGGAAAGGTGATGGGAAGGACGGCGGATGATTTTATTGACTGGATAGCAGAATTTTACACCTTTGAAATCAACAATGTTGAGTTTGATGAATGAATATCAATCTCTTATAATTCACAGGATGAATTTACATCATTCAGTCGACAGAATGGTAACTGAATACCCACTGAATGGTCACTGAAAAGATCCTTTCCCATGACTTTTCCGTGAGCTTTCAGTTACCATTCAGTCAACTGAATGGCAAATACACTTCAGTGGCCTTTCAGTTATCTTCCAGTTATTTTTATTGAATAATAGCCTTATCTTTTAACTTAGTAAAATTATTTTACTTTTTCCACTTATAATAGCATTAAATTTATCTATTTTCAAATTTTAAAAAAAGTGAAAAAAAAAATGCAAGAAAAGAAATCGCACCGAGCCAGAAGCAAACCCTAGTCTGTCACCTTATCCATTACGCTACATCTTCTTCATATAAATGATGCAAATTTAAATCAATCAATATGTGGAAATCGAAATTGAACACCCAGTTCACCTGTAACGGTTGTATCGAGGAGCTACGTGTTTACTTGATATATCTTGTATACATTAATTTGTATATTCTATGTTAGTTGCGCAGATTTTGGGGACAGACTGATTAATTACACATCTCTTATCGGGATAATGACAATTATCGGCGACGGGCATCTGTTCTTGTGTCAAAGAAATCTTCTTCTCAGAGATCGTTTTAAATTAATGATAGTTTGTATTTGCTTACAAGATCATTGTATCAATAATAGTCCTTACCAAATGATGACTTTAAACGAGACTGTTAAAATTCTTGTTTCATCAACTTGTTTGTCAATAACTTACCTTGTTTGAGAAATCATTCATACGTAGAGCATGTTATTGCCTATCGAATCAACTGAGAGATATAAACCCTGTTTGCAGGTGAAGATTGATGCACAAGTAAGGGAAGTTGACGATTGAGAAATCATGTTTATTTGATATCTTGGTTGTCAGATTACCATTAACGTCTTTTTCATGTAAAATATCCAAATATGAAACAGAAGTGTCTGACTCTGTGATATATATTTTATTTCAAGTTCACCGGGATATATCGCATCGAAATAAGAATGGAAATAATAATTGTAAACTGACGTTGTCGATATATCTAAATGTCGAGTTAAAGGCAAATGTTTTCTTTTCACGTATTAGATTTTGAATAAATTCTGCTTCGTATATAAAAAATAGGTCTGCTGAAATTTTTGGTAATTGGCGCAGTTGGTACCCAGGGAAATTCCAATAGATAGTTGGACGACCCAATCTCCAAAAAACCACTTAAATATTGTCTATCAATGTGAAGTAATAATTTTACTTTAATTTAGATAAATGAAATTGCAGTTTTGAGAGCCAAGGAATCCACTGATGTCTAACATATCCCAAGGAAACATGCTTTTGAAATGGTTTCCGATGTCCATCACAAATTCCTGTGCAGACCATAAATCTAGGATCTTCGATCTATCATCTATACTTCTGTATTCAATAATCCAGAAGTGAAAAAATAATTAGATTATATGATCAGTACGTACTGGTCCCTGCTGACAAAGCAGGTAACAACATCGTCTTTGTTTGTAAGGCTCATTATATAAATTGTATTTTAGAAGAGATTTAATTCTCCAAGTGGTAATCCAACTTATACTCATAGTTCCCTTTCTAAGGAAGAAATTCTTCAAAATCATATGTCAGTTTTGAATATGTTTAATATCCCGAAGAACCAAAATGGATATGAACTACCATATATATTGGATTCCGAAACTTCATAAGAATCCTTACAAACAAAGATACATAGTGGGTTCCAGTAAATGTTCAACCAAGCCTCTTTCTTTACTCCTCACTAAGATATTGACAGTAGTGAAGGGAAAACTTCAAGACTACTGTGCAACAATATATTCAAGGAGTGGTGTGAATCAGATTTGGATACACAAAAATTCCAAAGAACTTTTGGACAATTTGAAATCGCAAGATTTTACCAAAATCAACAGCTTAAAACTTACGACTTTTCAACTTTATACACAACCATTCTCCACGATAGATTTAAGGTCAGGCTTTTTTTTATATCATTGACAGCTGCTTTTTCAATAAAAATGGAACTTACTTATTCCTATGTCGATACGATATATCCTGGTGAGCTGGAGATAAAAGATACCACAGAGTCTGACACATCTGTTTCATACTTGGATATTTTACTTGAAAAAACGTTAATGGTAATCTAACAAGCAAGCTCTATGATAAAAGTCATGACTTTAGCTTTTCTATCGTCAACTTCCCTTGCTTACACAAAAATTCCAAAGAACTTTTGGACAATTTGAAATCGCAAGATTTTACCAAAATCAACAGCTTAAAACTTACGACTTTTCAACTTTATACACAACCATTCTCCACGATAGATTTAAGGTCAGGCTTTTTTTTATATCATTGACAGCTGCTTTTTCAATAAAAATGGAACTTACTTATTCCTATGTCGATACGATATATCCTGGTGAGCTGGAGATAAAAGATACTACAGAGTCTGACACATCTGTTTCATACTTGGATATTTTACTTGAAAAAACGTTAATGGTAATCTAACAAGCAAGCTCTATGATAAAAGTCATGACTTTAGCTTTTCTATCGTCAACTTCCCTTGCTTATGCAGCAATATACCTTCATCATCATCTGCATACGGAGTTTATATCTCTCAGTTGATTCGATACGCGAGAGCATGCTCTACGTATGAACAATTTCTACAACGAGGTAAATTATTGACAAATAATTTGAAGAAACAAGAAAATCAGCAGTCTCGGGTAAAGTCATCATTTCGTAAGCTCTATGGTCGATACAATGACCTTGTCAGCATATACAATTTATCCTTGAGACAAATGCTGATAATGACAAATTTTTCATACTAATTATCATCCCATTATTTACAAACTGAATTGACGATTTTTCCGTCATTTCCCGATCATGACAAGGTGTAGACGGCGGGTGTGACCGGTTGGTAGGGGACGCCCACTCCTCCAGTGCACCTAATCCTATGCACCTCTGATGTTTTGCAGGTCCGTGTTTGCTCTGCACCTATTTTTGTTTTATGGACTTTTGAGATTGAATACTGTTCGTTATCTCCATATAGTAGTATTTCATAAAAAGAAAAGCAAAGTTAAATAAGAAAAAAATTAATCAAATCAAATATTTACTCGTACACTACAAATTTCTTAAGTATTAATAACACTTAAGAGGAAAAAAGATATAAACGAGATAGCATCATGAAACTGATTTAAAAAAAACAACATTTGAGACACGTTTAAAAAAAATAAAAAGCAAAGGGTTTAAAACTAAGGACAAGCAGTCTTTAAAAAGTGTGTTTTAGCAGCTTTTTAAGACATCCATACTACGACTAAATTTTACATATGTTGGAAGTTCATGCTTTGGATTTTCATGTTTCATATACCTGCACTACCTCCACTCATACATACCTGATAGAATTGCACAGAATAGGCACACAAATAAACCCCTGGACATAAATTCCATGATCTGGAATTAGAAGAAAAAGATGATCATAAAATATTCCAAATAAAAAGTTACATTCTTATAGGCAATAGCTTACCGTGTTTCTGGAGTATATAGCCACAAACGAGTTACCTATCGCCGCAATATGCCTTTCTATCATTAAATAAATCTCTGGCAGTAGTAGATAAAATACAATCCTATCAGAAAGACTTACGAAAGCCTTTTTTTGTGGTAGAAAGGGTTAATGAATAGAAAATTATCATGCTTTATCACAGAAAGTAAACAAAGTGAGATTATAATTTTACAAACTTCCTGCCTTATAAAATGTTTTCAACAAGGTATTTATTTAGTAAACGAACAAAATGTATGCAAAAATATACATGTTTGTGCATGCAAATTCCATGCCGTAAATGTTTAAGAAAAAAAATCGTAAAAGACTTCTAAATGTATCTTTTATTAAGGTTTACAACCCTGCCTTGCCTTTTGAAGAGAGGCAGCTGGTACATATATCTAATTGGTGGTTGAAGGAGAGTTAATTTAAATATGATTTTCCTTAGAATTCTGTGAAAATTCATTGCTCTACAGATCGAATATGTGGTTTAACCGAACTATATGAACAAATAAGTCCAATACAAACCATCATCACTGATGACTCTATGACACAGATTTAAAGAAAATATTTTGATTCCTAAGTTGTGTTTTATGTTGTTACCATTAAGAACATATAATCTCTGTCACTGAAAGAAATAAGGTGTAAATCTGTATAACGCTTATGATGTTCGCATGTTCATCACCTACCCCACAGAATTCCAAAGAAAGCCCTTTGGCAAAGCAACAACCCTGAAAGGTTGTTTCTCTTGCTGAAACGTTGATTTCAGTTGGAGAAATTCTAGTTTTCTCTATATTACTCTAGATTTCAATTCTTTTCTGTAAATTACATTTAACCTTTGACTAGCATGCAATTTTGAACTTAATTTAATTACTGTATGTACATTTCTCTGCATTCTCTTCCCTTCTTTGGAATTTTAAGCCGCGGCTTTTCTACAGATTCTTATGTTTTTCTTTATTTCTATGAATTTCTTAACATTTTAATTACCTTAATTTGTCTTCCATGCCCTTTTTCTTCCACTTCTCTTAATTTCATGTCTTTTAATGAAAATTTTTATGTCCTTCTCCTCACTTCTTCTCTTGATTTTATGTCCTGCTGAGGATATGAGATGAACCTTACGAAACTGAACCTCCCGTGCAACTCGAACTGCTAAAGATGTGTCAATGTCGTGATCATACCTAGAAAAATAATGTTGTTATAGAACTATATCAAAGGATCTTAAACCCCGATATCTCAGTGAATTAAAGTCTTCTCTTAATTTCATGCATTTCTGTTGGGGAATTTCATGTCCTATTCTACGATTTATCCCTTCTCTTGATTTCACACCCTTCCGTGAGATTTACATGGCCCTATATCTCCCTTTCTTTTTCTTCTCTTATTTCACATTTTCTATTAGGTTCTCCTAACTTTTTAGAATCCTTTTAATACAATATCTTCACTTGCTGAAGGGTTGCTATGCCCTTTCCTACATAGTATGCTCTTTTATTTCATGTCCTTCTTTATGGGTTCCATTCCATTTCATAGATTTATATTACGTCTTTATATGTATTTATATTGCTCTTTTTTGTATACAATATACTAGTATGAAGATAACGAACAGAATTCATGCTCAAAAGTCCATTTAACAATACAAATTTGGAGCAGACCAATCACGGACCCCCAAAAATCATACAGGGAATCAGGTGAGATGGAGGAGTGAGCATCCCCTGTCGACAGGTGAAAGTTTGTAAAAATGGCTTAATTCACAGTTAGAATGAGAAACATCAGTCAACATTTGACTTCACTGTAAAAAAAATAACTAGTTAAAGTCACGAAGAAAACTAGTAAATTTACTGTCCATACAATCACTACCTTAAAAGTAGTTTTACCAGATATTGGTATATTTACTAGATAAGATTAGTAAATTTAGAATTGATATAAGTAACTTTCACTAGGTATCTAAGTATCTATACGACCCCCGCTCCACAACTCACTATCTTAACCAGTAAACTGAAAGTTTACTAATCACGACCAACGGTTTACGAGGCACACTAGTTAAATTCACTAGGTTTTTCTTTCAGTGTTATTAATACACGTAAAATTGCTGATAATGTCATTGTATCGACCATTCAATTTACGAAACGATGCCTTCAAACGAGACTGCTGATATATTTGTTTCATCAACTTACCTTTCAATAATCTACCTCGTTTTAGACATTGTTAATACGTAGAGCAGTTGATTCGATACGCAAAAGCATGTTAAACGAGGTAAGTTATTGACAATATTAGCAGTATCGTTTAAAGCCATCATTTCGTAAGTTTTAAGTCCAATGCTGACTGAAGTTTTTCCTAATTGTTAGGCCATTATTTACACACTGAGTTTTCGACGGATTTTCCCGTTATTTCCCAATCATGGCAAGGAGCACACGGCACCAGTTGGCAGGAGATACTCACTCCTCCAAGGCACCTGATCCCACCACTGATGTTTTAGATGTCGTTGTTTGTTTCTTTACTTCTATGATTTTTTTGAAGTGATGGAGGATGGAGTTATAGTGTCCCTTCCCGCACTTTTAAGAAATTCATAAAAAACTTTTAATCTAGTGATCGTATATTTTAATCGTATGGGTTAACAATTTCTTCAATGGAATTCGATCGAATCGGTACCTTAAAATAATTTATCATAAGAGAAATCAAAGTTTGTTATACACAAGACAGTAAAGTATAAAATGTAAAAATAATTTACAAACAAAGCATAAATATACGTTTTTCCTTAGGGATAACTTGTTTACAATATCGATCCGTGTGTTTCAATAACTAGTGAATGTGTACATGGTATGAATTTCTAATTTTATTAGTTTTGACCTTTCATGCTTTTTCAATGGAAACTTTAAGTACTACAGTTATCTTGCAATTTATAATATGTCAACAAAATAACTTTAAAAATCAAACCTGAAGTCTTTATGGAAACTATCGCAGTATATGAATATAATGATTTAAACCTTTCAATCTTCAACTTCCCTTACTTATGCAGTAATATACCTTTATCACCTTCACACGGGATTTACATCTCTCAGTTGATTCGATACGCAATATAAGCAATTTCTAAAACGAGGTAAGTGACAAACAAGTTGATGAAACAAGAATATTGATCAGCAGTCTCGTTTGAGGTCATTATTTCGTAAATCCAATGGTTGTATGGTCGATACATGCGTATGGTCGATACATGCAATGGCCTTTTCAGCAAATACAATCAAAATCTATCATGAAGCCAAATGCTGACTTTTTTCATACAGTACTAATTGTAAGGCCATTATTTACACACTGCATGAATATTATCGGATTTTATCGCTATTGAGCGTGAATACTGTTATTTATCTCTCTATATTTCGAAGTCAAGTTTTTATTGACTGAGGATTAAAAAATGTCTTTGTCAGGAGGAAAATAGATCTTTTTCCAAACATTGGGGGTGTCCTCGCTGTCGATATATTTTGTGGAAAAAAAATTAAATGCTTGCATACATGAAAGTAAATATATTGTACAGAGAGAGAGAGAGAGAGAGATTCTTTTGTTCCACTGATCAACTTCTTCCCTCTCCTTCAAATGACAGCTGTTGGTTTAACTTTCGTTTTCAAACATGCATGTACATTATTAACTAATATGCTTACTATGCTTTTAATTTGTAAATTCCAAATACTGTGTTTATAAATAGGGTGTTTATTCTCTGTATGACTCATTTATATATTTTTAGAATACAAAAAAAGGAAAGAAAGAATGCGACAGGGTCATCACGCATTCGCTGTGCATTTGTAACACAATCCCAAATGACGCATTCTTGAAATTCTTGGAATTTACGCTGAGACCAAAACAGCGTACAGGTAAATATAAGGTAAATTCGAGAGAAAAAACTCATTTAAGAAAATCGGATAATGTAGGTTTACCGCAGTGTCAAAATTATTCATGTTATGTAATGAAGCATTATGATAATTTACATGATTGTTGCAGAAGCTAGGCCTCATTGGAAAAGAGAAGCTTCAAAAATTTTACTAAGTATTTTTCGCGAGTTATCGTTCTTTGTATGACTTCTTAGCGGAAATGCGTCACGGAAGCGCTATTCCATTTAAGGTTGTGCACGGGAATTGACAGATGAGCTAATACTTCGCTTTAATAGGTAAATATCCTTATGACCTGTCAACAAGACATAGAAATCTACTGACTTGACGACTTGGAAGTGAGCAAAGGAAATTCAATTTGATAAATTTAGAAAACTAGCATCAATCACAGGTAAAACAGCGCGAAATTTAGGGGTAGGGTAAATTTAGTCAAATTATTAGTGTAATGTTTTATGTTTAACTTCACATATCCGGTATTTGTGACTCAGTTTTGTTGAAATCTGTATTCACCGATGATTCTACCTGAAACAGATAGAATTATTAGGATTAAACCTTACATGGTAATTTCGTTTTTTAACTCGTTGAAGTACGTGTCATATATTGAATCTACTTTTTCATGTTTTTAAGAGATCAAAATCATATAAAATAAATTTTACTATTTTCTTTTATATTAATGATTTGATGAACTCTTGCACAGAGACATATAAATAACATTCTGGGGATAAAGTCCAGACCAGTCATGACATTTAACCTGGAAGATTTTCAAAGTTGAGATATTTCATTTACTGGTTTAGTGTTTTACAGTTAATCCAATTATGTATACAGCAAATCCAGACTAGGATTTGAACCTGGGCCCTATGAATCTTTAGTCAGGTGTTCTCAGGATTTTCCAAAAGAACGGGCTACCAGCTAAATTGACCGCTTCAATTGACAAAAATGCCGCTTTGAAATAAAATTTTTTTGTTATGTCCACAGAGATTTTGTTCATAAACCTCAGCCCCTAGCCTGTTACAACTTATCTTTAACCCTTTACTTTGAAATAAAGGGAAAACACTGTGTTCAACCGACAGAGCTTTCTGGCCACCATGAATCGAACCCGATTAACTGCCACATTCCTCCCTCCGTAAATGTCTTTGGTCCCTCAAAAACCTCAACCGGGCTCATCCCTGGCAGTAATCTTAGCCAGATGTCAGAGGGACTAAAAATTTTGGTCTGGTGTCCACTGGCTAAGATTACCCTGGCAGGCCTCTCACCCATCAGTTCCAGGGCATGGCAATTAGGCACCAAATGTTAGGAGAGAGGAGAAAAATACAGGGGACCAGACCGGTATTAGAACCCTGGCTTTCCTAAATCTCCAGTCAGGTGCTCTACCAATTGAGCTATCTGGCTACCGGCCGACTGACAGCAGCACGTTTTACCAGAGACACTTGAAGTTTAAATTTTTTCAAAGTTGAAGGAGTCATCAGATTTTAATGTAGGCTCATATAATTATCTATGTTTTTCAGGATACTCTGAAACGGCCTTAATAAGAGATGACACAACACGGAATAGAGAGGAGTTTTAAGGGGCTAAATATAAACGACTCGCCTGGCACCCAGAAAAAAATACCACCTGCTGTGGCACCAAAGCCATCTAAAGTCATAAACGCATCACCAAAACCATTCAAAGCAGGTATTTGCCTATTGTGAAAATAATATTGAATAAGATTTTGTTATGTTTTTGGTTTGTTTTGATTTGTTTTGTTTTTGCATAAAATATCACTAGATTGAAGCAATGCATATATAAGAAACCGGAATGCCCATAAAAAAGGCATGAATACTGTTAATGACTTTATTAGTGATCGAGAGTAAGAGTGAGAAGTGAGATAGAATTGGTCTGAATTTAAACTAGGCCTATATGTCAGACTAATAACGTGTATAATTCAGGTTTTGGTTCAGTTAAAGTAAACACCTTCACACATACAATTGTAAGTATTTATAGGCGTTTTACCGTATGAGCATTAATTTCTTCTAATTATTAAAATAATTAATATCTAATTTTGTTCTCTTTGCTTAAAATGATTTATAAGAGAACTAATATTCAAAAGCTGAAAATGCCAAAAAAAAAATTATTGCAACATATTTTGATTTGTACATGTATTTTGTGCATTATATTCACAGTGATCTTGAATTCCTCACCAAAACCCTTTAAAGCAGGTATTGATATAATCCCAAGGTATTATATATGTATTATTTAGAGTACGAGTTTCTTACTGTATCAGAGATACAGGGCGGGGCTTGAGGCGAGAGCGATAGCTCGAGAAAAGCCTGTATAGATACATTAAGAAAAGTATTCTAAATGACTTGTGACATGACCTTTCTAAGGACCTCACTAATTTACATGCGTATTTGGGTGTATACCTCCCAACCAATCAGATGATTTTGCAGAAAGTTGATTTAGTATCCCATTTTAAGCATTCTCAACTGAAATGCCGAGTGAGATGGACGTGCAGGTATCTTTCATTTTAAAATTATTTAAGGGATGCATAAATTAATTTGTTTTCCAAAAATTTTATTTAGATTTGATTGTGCAGGGTTTTTTTTTCTCTATGCAGCTCTTGCTGACATTTTTTTTTTCAGTTTAAGCTACGATTTAATGCAAACATTTTGATATGTATGAATCATGTGGGAATATTTTTGAAACAAAAATGCTTTGGGAGATCGTAGATTCCGAGAGAAATGTCCGACAATGTCCTCCACCGGTCGTCATATACAAAATTGAAATACTCAGTAAGCAGATGAAAGGAAAAAGGGGGGGGGGTATTTTACCTTCACATTTTCATTAAAATGTAGAGTAACCAAACGGAGATACAGCACTCACTATTGCCCCCTTCCCACCTTTGAGTTTTTTTTTTCTTTTTCGTTTTCTTAAATTTTTTTCTTCTAAACTTGTATACATACGGTTTTTAATTCATCAACAAGTAACGAAATGACGCACATAGGTGTTGGTTGATTATAAATCTACCCCCATGGAATACGATTTCCGTTTTTTTTTTTGGGGGGGGGGGGGTCAAAGTAATAATTTGTGAACTGCCCCACTCCCTCCTTTCTAAAATTTTTGAATCCGGCAATAATACCTTTATGTTGTAAAATTTTATTTTTAATTCACCTTTAATTTTGAGTAAATACTAACAGTTCTATTGCGAATTGAACGATTGGTATGTCTGTATACGGATACAGCTTTCCGTCATCGCTAAAAATAAACCGTACTGTATCGTTGATATTTTGCAGATACAGTACAGTTTCTGCTCATTTGCATAAGAAACGCCCACAAAAAGTGTTCTGTATCGCAGTTACAGTATGCTTGACTTCAAAGGAAAACTCGCCGGGTCATGTCACAAATGTAATAACAATATATTAAGTGAAATATACATGATACATGTATGTATAGCCAGATTCAGAAAGAAGTAATAGCAATTAAGTACCCATTTACAATACATCTACATACTGAAAGAGCTGGGAGGTGGATTGTTAAAAAGAAAACTTTCTCTGTCTAATCGGTGGTATGCCAATATAAGCATGTTGAACATTAATTTTCAGTTTAAACATATAATTTAATAACTGTTTTGTGAATAATGAAAATTTCAATCTTTGCAACTTTTATATATGCTCCTGTATTGTATAAACTATCTAAATAGAATGTTATCATAAAGCATTTACTGTGTTAGAAGATTATAATGGTTCAGAGTTTTGATTTTAAATTTCATTTTACTGATGCATGTGTAGTCTAACATAATGTTTATCCCATGAGGGTCTATATTTTAAATTTGAAACATATACCAGTATATGTCTGTATAATTTCACAGCATATAATTTTGATCAATGGATAGAAAGAAAATGTAAGATTATATTTCCTACCTACATGTATGTGTTTTCATTTTACAAATCATAAATTGCTTGTTTTCCATTGTTATTTTTGTATCATATGAAAATATATTTTTTGGTTTAAATTATTTACTTTTGTTTTCAGTTGTTTTATTTAAATGATAACAGGTAAATTAAATTATCTCATATAGTTTTTTTCCCTAATGATAGGGGTGTATTGGATACTCTGACTCTGTCTAGTAATTTAACTGGGTTACTGTATTCACATAGCCAAGTCAATATGAAGCATGTCCCAAATTAGTTAGAATAATCTAACTGTGTCTCGGTACAGGCCCTCACCACAGTTAGAATACGTCCCATATACTTGTAAAAAGATTTTGAAGAATATAAAATGACTTGCACTGGGAATATCTACCAAAATAATCAAAACAAACCTTCTTGAGATTGCTTATGCCTTTTATCCCAAAAAATAATCCATATAAATACGAAAATCCAATTAATTTTCTCAACGTTTTTCTCGCTATTCAAATTACCTGCCATGTTTACATTCGGAACTCTCTGTGTTCCTATTAAATGCACTATGCGAGTTATCGCATGATCTGCTACATTACGAATACACGGAACGAATTCTATCGTTAAACCGGGTCCGTAGGACAATATCATTTTAACGATAGAACATTCTATCTAGTCCCAAATGAACAACAAAAATTATCCTAAGAAATAGTGTGTGGAAAATACATGTACATTTTGCAATTCTGAAATTGTCAACATCTAAGTAGAGACCTCTTAATCTATATTATACCTGTATATGGGAAATATGGGGGTTTAAATAGAAAAAAACATACTTTTGCAATTGATTTAATTTCCTGAAATGCTTATTGGCAAATAATTTTTTTTAAATAAGCTTTTTTATGCAAGTATTTTTCCTAATGATTCAAATTTACTGTTCAGGTACATGATGTATACTTTCAGTAAATCTTACATTTTATGATAATACATGTATATTAACCACGGAAGTGAAAAATATGATAACTCTTATATGATCAATACAGTTACTTTGCAGGAAGTAGCGTTGATCTCTGAGTTGATTAACCAGTTTTCTTTTACTGTAATGTGCATCCTTTTCACCTTCAGCAGTATTATTTGTCATTTTGAGGAAGTTTCTTTCATCACACTTCAACATTCCGTTACATATATACTAACACTAAGTTCTTTATTTGTAGGAGGGGGAACGTATCGCCAGTTCCGATCAGATCAGGGAGATGAGGAATTCCCTCCCCCTCCACCGCAAACGACCTACATAGAGGACATGCCCTACCCTCCCCCACCTGTAGATCAGTCCCGTGGTTATGGCTACAATGACCCCCAGGAGGATTTCCCTCCCCCTCCCTCACCCACCTCCAACTACAACACACAACCTCTGGACAACACAAGATACGGAGTACACAATCAGATTTACTCCTCTTCCTATGGGGAATCTCCTCCAAACAGGTACATTTATTAATAAAAATTAATAAGGTACTTTCTATTTGTTTAAAGAAAATATAAAGAAAATGACTTGAAACTTTTATGGATGTGTGTTGTGTTTGTTTAGTAAACTGGTCAACAAATCTTTGTGGAGCATTTCTCTTTTTATTTGTAGAATAATAAATTATCAAATTTGCAGCAATGTAGGTTTAAGCGTCTAAGAGACTCTAAGAAATATTCCATTCTTGTGTGATTCCACGAGTATACATGTATGAATTTTCTTGATTTACAAATTAATAATTGACATTTTTAGATCTTTTGAGTCATATCACACCAGCACCACCCACTACCAAATGGACAACCAGAAACCAACTTACACAGGAGGGCATTCCACGTCCCCCACAGGGTCCCCCTATAAACCCCCCAGTAACTACGCCAACCTGCAGCCATCTCAGCCCGCCTACTCCTCCTCTGGTCCCTCCCCTCAGTCAGACAACACGATTTACGCCCGCCCCGTTAAAGTGATCCGGGAGCCACCTGACAGTTACAATCCTCCACGGGACCATGGGGCACCACCAGCTGGCTACGTAAGACAGAACATCAGTGAGCACCACATTTTTAATAACCAAGGAGGGCCCGACTATAACTATGATAGAAATCTCAGCACCAGCTCAGGGGGATTTGTTCCAAAATATCAGGTAAAAATATTTTGTAGCTTTGTAAAGATTGCCTAGACTCTTATGAAATACTGTTTCTCATACATTACAGCATTATGTTACTTGTATTGTGATATAGCATAAAAATTATAACAGCAGGAGAAAACAAAGCTTGAATCTTAATTGTAGCATTATGGATCACTTTAAAGGGGATTTTTTTTTGTGTAGAATATGTTCATCAAATCAAAAGACATGTACATACCAGGTAAATTGGTTGAATTCCAAGGTTTTGTATTTTGTAGGATGACTACAGAAATGAACGCCCTGTTCCTGGGCCACAGGTGGTACCCGTGGGTCCAGAATCACCATGCGGTGGGGACAAATCTACACAAGAAGCTGAAGTTGATGCCCTGACCAATCTTTTGATACAAAACATGGATTCTTCTAGTGAAACAGACTTCTTTGGTATGAATAGTATACTAGTAATCAAACATTGTGGTTTTGTATTCTTCAGCTTACACATTTAGACTCCTATGTCTCCAGGGTTATTTAGAAGGAGAAAAATTATTATCAGAGATCTTTGTGGTCATTTATTTACCATTAAAGTGTGCTCAAGTTAATTTAGCCAGTGCTCCAAGTCTCACTTACTTTTAGGTCGCTAAATGGCGACCTAAAATTTTTTTGGTCGCCATTTCAGAATTTCTGGTCGCCATTAACAAATTTTTCACTCGCCATGATGAAAACATGTGAATAACACAATTAAAACAAGAACTAACATCCACATGTTATGTTTTTATCAAATCAAAGATTATTGATTACTGTGACTAGAAATCTTTTGTTAGTTGAAGCGATATATTTTTATTAAATACAACCACCCTTTGTATTGTACACAGAAGAACACACGTAATCTGATCCTAGAATTAAAGTTTAATCAAAAGAAAATAAAACTTTGACAGTTGTTGAGAGAGGACTTTGCCAATATTGTTTATCATGTTTACCTGTTTACTTACTACTAAGTTTTTCAATTTTTGAGAATTGATTTTTTATATTCTGTTTATCAAACTTTAACCCCCCCCCCTTCAAAATTATCTAAGTAAAAAGGTCAATTTAGTTTAACTTGATAGATAATAAAGTAGATAATTTATCATGATTTGCCATGGTGAAGAAAGAATGAAACTTTTTGTTCCCATTCACTATAATCTATGATATTTTATGGATAATTAAAATACCGGTAATTAAGTCTCCAGAGTTCAGCTCTGTCTAATGTTTTTGTTTTGTATTATATATTTGCATGTGCATCATTTGTTTTAATAAAGTATTATTCTTTTTTTTAAAGGTATTTGTGTGAAATGTCAGAAGAAAGTAGTAGGAGAGAACAATGGCTGTACGGCTAACGACCAGGTGTACCACATCTCATGTTTCATCTGTATCAACTGTGGTAGGTTAGAGAGAGGTAGTCCCAGTCAGTGTGTAATGGTCGGCATCGTTATAGAGACTTAGTCCCAGTCAGTGTGTAATGGTCGGCATGAGCACTGATTTAGAGCAAAATGAAAATAATGCTCACTTTTTAAAATTTTTAAAGGGGCATGCTATTTTTATTTTTTAGGGACTCTGTTGAGAGGAAAATCATTTTATTCCATGGACAACAAACCTTACTGTGAACAGTGCTACGTCGTAAGTTAACTGCTCTAGCCAAAAAGTTATTATATATTATGAGTACAATAAATTTTGAGAGAGAAAAATTCTGTGACCGAGTGTAATTTTGTAATCCTCTTCTGTTTCAGAATAGTTTAGAGAAGTGTTCCGTGTGTTCCAAACCAATAACAGATCGGGTAGGTTTTATAAGACTTATTTATATACCTATTAATTACATAATAAAGTTTTCTATGCTGTCCTTGTATCTTTATAATGTCAGACTTGGATGCTAAGCACCTGCACTCATCACAAGTGCTGGCAGGAAGTGTTATGTATGGAGTGTTTCCTTTAAGGAAGCAGTTCTGGATAGGCTCTCCTATATAAGGCTGTTACTCACCACAGATAAAATGTGATCTCAAGTTATACAATATTGACCTCAAATTCCAGTATGTACTAGGGCAATCATCGTCTCTAAGTGTGGTGCACTTAACACCAAATGAATATTGTTTTAAATTTTTTTTTAAATGAAGGGAATGCAAGTAATTTTATATGAATTTGTATTGACTGACTTCATCTGTGTGCTATATGGGCCAAATGAAGTTTTTCATAGAATAACATAGGAAAATTCTTTCGAAATCTTCTCAAGAACAGCAAAGCCATGGTTATTTAAATGGAAGCATCCTCAGGTAGACTAGACTATCATCAAGTTTGGTATAGTCTTTAGTATTAAATCTTTTTGTCAAGGATAGCAAAGCCATTATTAATTATATTGTTATGGAGGCATTCTCTGATAGTTGAGCTTCAAGTTTATTCAAATCATAACCTCAGGGGAGGATGGGTCCACAATGGGCGATCCAAGTCTTTTTTATAGGAATACATGGGAGACCCTATAAAAATCAAAGCCATGTTAAGTCATAGAAATGTGGAAACATTCTCAGATGCTGTAGAAATCAGATGCCCCTTGGCATAGCTCAAATGTAGCTTCAAGTTTTTTCAAAACATGCCCAGTCCCCTGCCCCTTAGGGGGACAGTTGAACTTAGCCGAACGAAGTGCACAGTTGAGTAATTTGACCCGTGGGACATGCATTAGAATTTAAAAATCCTCACCTTACTGAATATATAGAAGACATAATTTGTACATGTACTTTACAAATGTAGTATATTTCTTCAATGGATTTGCTTTAGTTAAGTTTCAAATAACCTAAGCCCCCAATTAGTCAATTGATAATGGGAGTTTGACATCCATATTAAGTAGGCAATGGTTTCTTTGTTTAGCACAATTATGATATATTTATTCTTTTGTTGCAGTTGCTGAGGGCCACAGGCAAGCCCTATCACCCAGCCTGTTTTACGTGTGTAGTGTGTGGTAAGAGTCTGGATGGAATACCCTTCACAGTGGATGCTACGAACCAAATTCACTGCATCGAGGATTTTCACAAGTAAGCCTTGAACCCTAGCTATCTTCCCATCCGCTCCTTCAAAATTATTATAATATTTAACTTATGTGATTTGTCTTCAAAGAATTATATAGGATTGATTATTTTTAAGAATAAAGATCTCTGTAGATGATGTATGGCTATTAAAATTGTATGAATTGGAGAAAACTTTTCTAAAACCTTGTGTTCAATCCCTTTGATCAATTGTCAATAGAATATGTTCGTAACAAAATAAAATTAAACCTATTAAAATTATATTTATTTTATTTGCATATTTAAATGAACTATCAAGCAATAATAAGAGTGAAGCTTTAAATGCTGTATTTGTTTACCTATTATCATGGTTAAACAAAATGATTCCCCTCAAATTAGCACATAAATTTGAAAAATATCAGTTCAACTTTTTCTGACAATTTTTAGCTCACCTCAACGAAGTTGGGGGAGCTTATGTAATACCCTTGGCGTCGGCGTCGGTGTCGGTGTCGGCGTCGGCGTCCCGGGTTAAGGTTAAGTTTTTTGGAGCAGTTTTCTTTTTAAGTACTTCTATGTCCTATATTGATTAGACATGCATGGAAGATGGTTCTAGTGTGTTTCATTGTACCAGTCAAAGTTTCAGATGCTGCAATTTTAGCAAAGGAATGACCAGGTTAATGTTTTTGGAGCAGGTTAACATTTTTGGTGCAGTTTTTGGTGTAGGTTTCATTTCCAAGTAGCTATAAGCCCTATGTTAACCAAACTTGCATGGATGATACATCTAAGGATGCATACTACCGAGCTTGCTTCGGATGCTGAATCTGACCTACTTTTTCCGGTTGAGTGAACAGGTTAAAGTTTTTTGGTGCAGGTTTCATTTCCAAGTATATGTAAGTCCTATGTTGACCAAACTTGCATGGATGATACATCTAAGGATGGATACAACCAGGCTTGCTTCGGATGCTGAATCTGACCTACATTTTCCGGTTGAGTGAACAGGTTAAAGTTTTTGGTGCAGGTTTCATTTCCAAGTATCTGTAAGTCCTATGTTGACCAAACTTGCATGGATGATACATCTAAGGCTGGATACTACCAGGCTTGCTTCGGATGCTGAATCTGACCTACATTTTCCAGTTGAGTGAACAGGTTAAAGTTTTTGGTGCAGGTTTCATTTCCAAGTAACTATAAGCCCTATGTTGACCAAACTTGCATGGATGATACATCTAAGGATGGATACTACCGGGCTTGCTTCGGATGCTGAATCTGACCTACATTTTCCAGTTGAGTGAACAGGTTAAAGTGTTTGGAGCAGGTTTCATTTGCAAGTAACTTTAAGCCCTATGTTGACCAAACTTGCATGGATGATAAATCTAAGGATGCACACTACCGGGCTTCGGATGCTGAATCTGACCTACATTTTCCGGTTGAGTGAACAAGTAAAAGTTTTTGGTGCAGGTTTCATTTCCAAGTAACTATGAGTTCTTTAATGACCAATCTTGCATGGATGATACATCTTAGGATGCATACTACCAGGCTTGCTTCGGATGCTGAATCTGACCTACATTTTGTGGATGAGTGAAAATGTTAGTTTTTGATGTATGTTTCATTTCCAATTAACTATGAGCCTTATAATGTGCAAACTTGCATGGACGATACATCTTAGGATGCACACTAATGGACTTGCTTCGGATGCTGAATTCGACATATTTATTTTTCAGATAATAGACCAGGTTAAAGTTATGGTTGCAGGTCTATTACCAAAAAACTTTAAGGCTTTTATAACATTGTATAAACCAAACTTGCACAAATGTTGCACCAAGAGATGAAAACTCAAATTTGCTTTAGATGCTGAATTACATTTTCATGAAGAACTACTTTAAATTTTTTATGTTGGTCTACTTCAAAGTATCAGATCAAAATTGCTTAGATATTTTCATTTTTGGAATGTACATTTTTTGTTGGTTAATTGTGTGACTTTGCCTTATTTAAAGACAACATTCGTTGAGGTGAGCTCTGTAATCTCTGATTACCTATGTTTAACATTGTAGAAAATTTGCACCCCGATGTTGTGTTTGCCAAAATCCCATCATGCCAGAGTCAGGGCAGGAGGAGACAGTTCGAGTCGTTGCCATGGATAAAAGTTTTCACGTTCAGTGCTACCGATGTGAAGTAAGTCATATAAAATTGTAGTCACAATTACAGCTATCTGGATCTTCATCCATTCAAAAATTGCAGCTCATTTACATGTACATGAACTTTTTAAGGATTGACATGTTTTTATCAGGATATTTAACATTCTTTTAATATTTGTTTTACTTGTAATATATGATAAAAATACTGTATACAGGGTTATTTTCGCCCTTTTACATTTGCTAACAATTTTGGCCTATTTTAAATTTGCCCAGTCACAGTTCTGTCTAAGAATTTGTACTGAGTTCTTTGAATTTGCCCCGTTTAAAATTTGCCCACTTGTGATAAGGGTGAAAGAGGCAAAAGTAAAACGGAGGCGAAATTTTCCCTGTATACTGTAAATCTTTTATTTTCAAATTAATTAAGTATCAATAAAATTTGATAATGATTTCAGGATTGCGGACTATTACTGTCCTCCGAGGCTGAAGGTCGAGGGTGCTATCCGCTGGACGAACATATTTTATGTAAGAACTGCAATGCCAAGCAAATCCAAGCAATGTCTTCCAAAATGGCCACAGAGTTATGAGCTGCAATCAGTTACAGGGCATACAGCTGGATCTTTTATGTTGTGTTGAAATATTTGTTATACACTATATGTTCTTTTTTTTTTGGGGGGGGGATAAAAATAAGATGAATATTCAATAACTGTTCTATGCAATAAAACACTTGGAGGGAGGGAGTCATTCTTTTTATAGGTACAATTTCATTCTGACTGTATTATGTTGGAATACTTTCACTGGTGTGTTTAAGTATGATTGAAATATTGAACTGCTGTCTTTTATTTATAGGATGTTTTGTTATTTGTTGCTTATATAAATAAGTTATTGGTATATTTATTTTCACTTTGTACTTATTCTCTTATTTAAAGTAGCAAATTTGTGTTTACATTGGTAAACATTGGTAAACAGAGATGTTTTTATCTGAAAAAAAAAAACTGACCCCCAAATGATATTGAATTTTCTGATTATTAGTTGTTGGATATTTATATGAACCCTGTGTAACACTTGTATAAATTTACATTTACTGTTTTTATTATCAGTTTATATTTCTTTTGCTGTATGGTGATATACAAATATATCAAAGGGCTTTTTGTGTAGTTTATTGTCATTCAGTTAGATTTTTTATCCATTTTTTTAATCTTATTTATAAAGGCATTAGAGTATGGTAATAATTTTTGTCTCTACATTTGCAGAACTTTAAAATCATTTTTTTCTCTCTACATATCAGCATTATTAGCATTATTTTATCAGATAATTATAATTTATTGCATGAACAAAGCTCTAAAGCTGGTACAATCTAGTCCCCTTATTACATCAAATAAATGTTATAGGTAAAAATTTGTACAGAATCTTAATAAAACTCTAATGAACAAGTTGTCCATGCAACACTTCATAAACGTGTACATTTATATACATATTAAGTATGTACTTATTGAAGAGATATTATCAAATCAACTTTGATTTAAACAATTAGATGTACATATACCTATTTTAATTTGATATTTAGAAAGTGATTGATAAAAGGATTTTCATTTTGCTTTTTAAAGAAACTTTGATATTTTTAGATGTGATATTTGCATGTAGATATAAAATTCGCAGATTCAAGATATTCTACGCAGTGCTTTGTGATACACTCATATCAACGCATATATTTTTATATTACTTCATTGCATGAAAAAAGAAAAAACAAGTGTCAGTTATTTCCCTTTACATGAGTTGATGATTAGTTGTAGATAAGACTGATGGTACACTCTATTAACCTTCTGTTGGAGGATGAGAGGAGCTTGTAAAGTGTGTCAGTCGTCCATCTGTTTGTCTGTAAAAATTTTTCCATAGTGTTTGATTTATGTTTTTTGGCCATGCACATTGTAATTTCTTGTATCTATTTGAATTTCAATTAATACTGTTCCAATGGTTATGAAAAATGAGGTAAAATGCAAATGTAAGGCACAATTTCAACTTCCTGCTACAGATAAAAGGTGTTGACATGGTTACTAAAAATGAAATAATTTTGATTATTTAAAGGTGTTATGATCAAAGACACCTTGTAACAGTGAAATTCAAACCAGTAGAGTTGTATGGTCTGCTCAGAGACTTTTTTTCTGTGTGTTTTTGTTTTGTAAATGTCAGATTTTACTTACTTTTATTATTATACGCCCGTCTTAAGACGGGACGTATTATGTTATAGGCTTCATGTCCGTCCGTCCGTCCGTCTGTCCGTCTGTCCATTCGTGTCCGGCTCATAACTTCAATACTATTAGGCCTAGGATTATCAAACTTTGTCAACTGATACTTCTTGGGTAGACGGTGTGTCGCGCACCAAAAGTAGGTCGCTCTGACCTTTAATAAAGATGCTATGGCCAAATATGGAAAAATCCTGTCCGGCTCATATCTAGAAAACTATTAGACCTAGAGCTATCAAACTTGGCAAAAGTATACATCTTAGGTAGAAGGTGTGTCGCGACCTATTTCAAGGTCACTGTGACCTTTAATTTTAGTGAAAATTTTTAAAAAACTAAGTTTTTTAAATTTTAAATTTCATAATCCTAAAAATGTAAAAAATAGAGTTGTATCCTTATTAAAAAGTATTAAATCAAGTAAAAACTTATTTTTTCATCATATACTTTACAGCAATCTTAAACAAATTTCAATGTTAATGAGAGGAATTCAGTTTGTCCCATGGGCATAATTATCAAGCACTGGTCAGGAAGAATTTTGATAGCAGAAAGTTGCATGTCAAATTAGGGAGAAATTAATGAGTTTAGTGTGAGGAGGTAACTAGTAGAGCATTGGTGTTATCCCTTGGGTATTGGGCAAATGGACAGCCAGCCTAGCTGTTAGATTAAAAATAGCTCTTGTTGGCTAGCTAAGTTTTAAAATGAATTTGATGAATAGTAATTAAAACTTATTTGATATTGCATAATAAACTAATAATCTGATATTATATAATATTAATTAATTAAAAACTAATTTTATGGGGTGGGGTTGAATCAGCATGCCTACTTGACCATATGAATTAAATATAAAACCTGTCTGGCATTAAATCTAAAAAGAAATCATGGAGTATTTTATATGTTTTAAAAGTGTTTTAGGATAAAAAGTGCAGATCCATTAATATTTAGGGAGTAATGAGTAGACAAGCATCCAGTCAAAGATTAATTAATGAGTTCAATGTACGAAGGCTATCTGATCAAGCGCTGCCTTATCTGTATCCTTTGGGGATTAGACAGAAGAACTGCTGGTCAGTCTATAGAATATGTCATTTGATGGCCAGCCTTTCTTTTCAAAATTAATTTGGCATAGATTAAGTTGTTAAGACTAATTTGATATTGTTTATTATGATGGCCGGCATTTGACAAAGTCTAACACAAACAGTTGTATAGAAATCTGTCAGTTATATAATATTTGTTATAATTATGCCTACAGCACAGGGGATGGATAAAGAAATATTTTTTTTAAAAATGGAAAAATCATGGAAATCATACAATCAAGGTTGAAGTGATTTTCTTGCAGTCTAAACTGTTAAAGATAATTATGTAATATTTTGACGGGCGTATCATGCTGTGGCGTGGCACTTTATTTACACATGGTGGCATCCAAGTTATAGCTATGAATTCCATTCTATCCATTTTACCTCATGTTTGTATGAAAGTTGTTCAATTTCAATATTTCTTGGTGACTGTTTGGTAATTTCACTGTTATACTTTCAGAATTATTTAAGGTATTTGATACACTACCATTTGAATTGAATGCAAGTTAATGATTTATGGTCTATGGCTTACTGCTTCTAAATCAAATTTAATTTCATACCTATTTGTTGCAGTAAGATTATACATGTACATGTATATGAAACAGGAAGGAAAATTAAAAAAAAAACCCATCTAATATCAATTTTTGAAAACTTTATAGCATAAGAATTCAACATTCTCTTTGGAGACAGAGGACAGTGCTCTAGCTACAATATTGTAGCCCTCTCCCTTTTTTTTTTTTTTTAAGAAAACATCAGATTAAAGAAAAAAAATCAGAGAGGGCTACATTATTGCAGCTAACAGTGCTCCATTTGTGTTATGATATTGGGCAGGGATTTCAAAATTTAAAAAAAATTGTAGTGAGAATCTGTTATCTTTAGTGGCTTGATTTATTTAGTTTGCTTGATTTTTACTTAGGAATTTTTAAATTACTTGAGAAAAATTATTTTTGATGGAAACTTAAATGCAAATTCTGTACTCAGATGTTTTAAAAATTTATTATTTTATCTAGTTTAACGGAGATATGATTTATACTGTGAAAAATACCTTTATAAACAATATAACTCTATATTTTCTGTAATTATGTTTGTAAATGTACTAATTAAGTTCGTTATTTATGTTGCTTTTTTATTATAAATGAATACAAAGCTTGCTTAATCATTTATTGAATGTAGTACAGAAAATGTTAATACATGCTGAAAAATAGCTATGTGTCATTGATATTTTTGAAGGTTTGTTTGCATGATTATGCAGATCATTGGAATATTTTTACATTCTGTATACCATGGCATGAAAATCAGAGGGGTTACTGAATTTGTCTAACTTTCTACATTAGGTATGATTTACAGCCCTGTGCATTCCACTTGAAAAGTAATGCACCTGATATTCTGAGATGTATAGGCATTCAGAAATTTTCCTAGCCATTTTGTTTGTTTTCAGCTCCATTATTAAAGTATTAAAATACACCCAGCACTACAAAATCCCTGTGCAGAAACCAGCTTAAAAGTTGTTGCTTCAGAAAGATTTTTTTTATGATAGGTTGATTGTAGTGTGTAGTCATTCTACGAATTAATAACCAAGTAAAAGTAGACAAGTCTGCCCTGGTTCAATTCATCATTTTCTCACAATTGAATACTATAGATTCCTAAATATACACATGGAAATATTTATCAGGTAATTTCACGAGAAACACCACACAAAATAAAATTTCTGGCCTTTATTTTACTCTACTAGTATGTTAAATCTCTTCATCAGCCATCCATTCATGAATTATTATTCTCGCGATCTGACATTGAAAATTATTCGCAATAATAAGAACTTGCTAAAAATAAGGAATTTACAGTAATTATAATCTGCATCAAAATAAAGTTACACCGTTCAAGCAAATTATCATGTTTAAATGTACTGGGTAAATATATATATATATATATATATATCATTCTATAAACTTATAAATCAAGACTTGTATATTAGTGTATTTCATGGCAATGTGTTGTTATGTTAAGACATGTAGATCTAGAGGATATAAAAGTAGGTTAAGTAATGGTGTCTGTTGACTAACCTGATGAGGGGGTACATGTTATTGGTGTTTTATGATATCGGAAAATGCAATTTATCATCAAGAGCAAGATAACTAGAGGATTGTAATAAAACAAGTGGTCCTATTTATAAACATTGCAGTGTATTGAGTATTCACCTATCAAGCAGAGTTATAAATACAGTCAAATCTTATTTTTATCAAAATCAGTGGCAATGAGATTAAACTTTGAGATATCCATGGATTCGAGATACCAAAGTTTACCACATGAAGAAAAAAGTACCAGTAGTTACAGGACTGTGAAAATCATTTTGACATATCCCAGCTGGTATTCAAGATACCAGTGTTCAATGGATAAAGATTTTTTTTCCCCACAATTATAAAATATATGAACTGAGAATCTGAAATCCATTTAAAGAATATAAACAATATTTTTTCTGTTTTAACTACTGTAACCAGCCCCCACCCCTAGGTGTAATATGTATATGATGTGACCTGATGAAATCTAGAGTAAGTACAAAGCTGGAAGAATATTTTGAACAGGTAATATATATAGTGTTTAACGACTTACATCAGCATCCAGAATACACCATTTTTGTTTCATCTTTTAAAACATTTAAGTGGAACACTGTATATACAAGTGTAGATAATCAAGGTAATAATAACAATTAGGATAAAGAGAGATATGTGTTATCTATATAGCTGATTTTATTGCTCAGGTAGATATCTGACTGGGTTAAAACATTCGTACCTCGCTTCTGAAATTTGAACTGGTTGTACTAAGAAATATATATTTTTACTACAGGTATTTGAGAGATTCTGGGTCATTCTTGGAGGAACTGTGAGAGCTAAGATTTCATGGGCGAGTTTTCATGTGGTGACATTGGCCAAGCTTCACTATGGCAGGTGAGCTTAAATAAGTTCTTAGCCATTGTAAAGGGATTGCTTAGGGAAAATGATGGAACAACTAAAGATAGATATTGAGATACTCTAAAATGTGTTGATTTAGTGAAAGAGAGACGTTATAAGCTTGAAGTGATTCCATAGGATCAAAGTCTTAACACTGTCTCGTCTATATTGGTTACAATTTTGACAAATATTTTTACCAGTATTCTTGAAAGTTACATTTCCATCTTAAAGTAAACTTTTTATCATTGTAGATAATTCCAAAAATCTCTCAAATAAAAAAATATTGTAAAACTTTAACTGTTTGGGTAACTAAAAAGTTCTTTTGAATGAATTAAATGACCAGAAATGGGGAGAAAAAATGGGGACTGTATATGAATACACATAACATGGATTGATTTAAAGCTTTAAGAGGGCATGGTGGTTGTGTCCATTTTTAAACTATATTGATCTCCTTTAAAAGAAGATGCACATAAAGATATACAAAAATAATCACATTTTAGAACTAAAATATATGAAAATATTCCTTGATGGTTGAAAGCTTAAGTAATCATATTTAAAATATTATGTTGTATCTGATGGTTTGTTTGTTGACCCCCAGCCTCCCTAAGTGGATACTTGTATTTTCAATGTTCTTTAATGCCACAATGTAGCAGCTATATTAAGGTTTGAAATTTTATTGGTAATCCTTTGAAAGGATAATACAGTAAAGCTTGTCTTATCTGGACAGCACTGGTTCAAAAACTTGCCAGATTTAATAGACATTGTTATACCTTTAAAAAATAGTTCCTATGCAAATCTATACGAAAAAAGTCCAACGAATCTAATGTTTTGCGGAGTGGGCATAAATAAATCGATGTTGGACCGCTGAGTATTATGTTGGATAGGTCGATGAGATGTTGGTCCTCAGGCAGACAGTTTGGTTCTTTGGTCTGACAAAACGCATGTTGCCCTCGAACTCAGTCAATAAATGTATAATATTCTGAATTAGACAACATCTTAAACAAATGAATTTACTGAAAAGGACTTTAAAAAGTTTAGCATAGGTTTTCTGAATTCATGAGCCCATGCAAGGAAAATTGCATGGCTTCTGGCTTCAGTTTTGAAGTAACATATATGTGATCAAATTCAAATATTTGGCCATTTCCTGTACTTCTGCTAAATCTAAGTGAAAATCTTTATCCAAAGCAAGACATGAAGACTTGAAATATGGCACATCCCTAGATTTATAATCTAAGTGAAAGTTTGAAATAAGACTAAAAGGTAAAAAAAGAGAAGTCTGATTTGTGCTTCA